CCTGGAGGAAGTGCACCTGAAATGCTCCTTGGAAGCGAGAATGGCCAGACTTCATCTCACCCATTTTGGTCATGTTGTCAGAAGGGACCATTCCCTGGACAAGGATGTCATGCTTGGTAGGGTGGAGGGTCGACGAAAGAGGGGGAGGCCTTCAACGAGATGAATTGACGCAGTGGCTGCGATGATGGGCTCAGGTATAGCAGGGATCCTGGAGCTGGCGTGGGATCGGGCAGTGTTTCGTTCTGCTGTGCACGGGGTCGCTATGAGTTGGAAATGACTCAACGGCACCTAAAAACAACAACAAGTATTAGTATTAAATAAGTGAATAGACTCTGAAAGCCTAATGTTAGTAAGACTTTAGTTAATTGTCTCCACCATATTGTAGGCTCTGCTTTATCAGTGCCATACAGACCCAAAATCCTCTTAACTCAAGATAATAAAAGAAAAGCATTCTTAAATTGTATTTTTCAAAAGTTAATTTGGTGCCCATAAACTTCAGTTTTCATCTTCTGTTCATCATTAATGATAATACTTTTTACATTTCAGTTGCCAAATTAACAGAACTTGTTGAAAATTATTGATTATTTGTGTTGAGATACATAATTATTTAAAAATGCACATTTGTTTATCCACATAATTCTCCTTTTTGTTGTAGAGATATGTAGAAAACCCCAGCGTCATGGCCTGTTACAATGAGCTGATACAGCTGGAGTATGGAGAGGTGCGATCACAACTGAAACTCAGGTAAGTCAGCCACTTGTGGAAAGCTCACTGGGCCACACAGGCCAGCGTTGCAAGTGAGAACTTTGGTTGTGGATTTATTAGTTCATGGCTATAACTGACCTCTTGCTAAAATGGGATGTGGTGGTAGAGAGAGGTTGGCAGAGTGCCACCTCACCTTACTCAGACTATTCTGGAGTCTGCCTTGATTTCTGGCAGTCACCTTAGTGATTGGAGACCCTCTTTGAAATAAAGAGAACAATAATGCTAAGTGGAAAAAAAAAAGCAGGATACAAAACTATATATACTCAACTATGTTTTGTTTTTAAGAAAAATATAAATTGTTTTACTGTACACACACAGACACACATACGCACACAATTTATAAATGTTATCTCTTAGAGGTGATACTTTTTTGGTACTATAAATTGGCTGTTTTTTTTTTTTTGAGGGATTCTCTGGTAGCCTAGTGCCTAAGGCATTTGACTGCTAACCAGAAAGCTGGCGGTTCAAACCCTCCAACCACTTCTCAGAAGGAAGGTTGGGCAATCTACTTCTGTAGAGATACCACCTTGGAAACCCAAGGAGGGGTCGCTATGAGTCGGGTCCAACTTGACAGCACGTAACAACAGCAACAGCCTGTCTAGCAGTATTCCCTCTCCTCCCCTCCCATCCCTGATAACTAACAAAAAAGTTTCCTTCCATGTATAAACCTTTCCTTGACTTTTTACAATAGTGAACTAATACAATATTTGTCTTTTCTGTTATTGAGTCATTTCACTCAGTATTACGTCCTCCAGATTCATACACGTTACTTACGTGGTGTTTTGCAGATTCTACATTATTCTTTAGTGTTCCGTAGTATTCCATTTTGTATATGTACCATAGTTTGGTTATCTATTCTTCTGTTGTTGGGCACTTAGATTGTTTCTTTTTGCTATTATAAATAGTGCTGTGATGAACATGGGTGTGCATATATCTGTTCTTGTCCTGCCTCTCACTTCTTTAGGATATATACCTAGTAATGGGATTCCTGGATCAAATGTCTAATTGCAACTTTTTAAGGAATCACCATACTAATTTCCACAGCACTTGTATCATTTTACAGTCCCACCAGCAGTGTATGAGTGTATGAGAGTCCCAGTCTCTCCATATCCTCACTAGCATTCGTTATTTTCTGTCTTGTTGAACTTTGCCATTAGTGCTGGGGCAAGATGATATCTCATTGTTTTCATTTCATTCTAATGGCAGTGATTGTGAACATTTTCTTCATGTGTTTGTTGTCTGCTTGAATATTCTCTTTGGTGAAGTGTCTATTCATATCTTCTGCCCATTTTTGAATTGGGTTGTTTGTTTTTTTGTTGTTGAAGTGTTGGAGTTTTCTATAAATTTTAAAGATAAGTCTCTTATGAAGTATGTTGCTGCCGAATATTTTTTTCCCAATCTGTAGGTTCTCTTTTGACTCTTTTGGAGAAGTCTTTGGAAGCACATAAAAATTTAATTTTTAGAAGGTCCCATTAATCCAGTTTATCTTCTGCTGTTTGTGCAGTTTGGGTTATGCTTGATAGTCTATGCCATAAAGTAGGCCCCTAAATTTGCCCCAGTTTTTTTCCCTGAGGAACTTTATAGTTTTAGGTTTCACATTTAAGTCTTTGATCCTTCTGGAGTTAGTTTTTGTGTATGGTGTGAGGTAGAGATCTTGTTTCATTTTTCTGCAAATGGATATCCAGTTTTGCCAACACCATTTGTTGAAGAAACCACCTCTTGCCCATTTAATGGATTTCAGCCCTTTGTCAAAGATCAACTGACCATAGGTTGCTGGATCTATTTCTGGGTTCTCAATTGTGTTCCATTGATCTACTAGTCTGTTGTTGTACCAATACTAGGCAGATTTGACTACTGTGGCTGTGTAGTAGGTTTTGAGATGCAGGAGTGTGAGACCTACTACTTTGCTCTTCTGCAATAGTGCTTTGTTTATCCGAAGTCTCTTTCCTTTCCATATAAAGTTAGTGATTGTTTTTTCCATATCCTTAAAGAATGCTGATGGGATCTGGATTAGGATTGCATTGAATGTATAGATTGCTTTGGGTAGAATTGACATTTTCACAATGTTCAATCTTCATATCCACGAGCATGGTATGTTCTTCCATTTATGTAAATCTCTTACGGTTTCTTGAAGTAGTCTTTTGTAGTTTTCTTTGTTTAGGTCTGTTATGTCCCTGGTAAGATTTATTCCCAAGTATTTTATTTTATTTATTTATTTTTTTTGGTAGATTTTGTAAATGGTATTGATTTCCTTATTTCCTATTCAGCAATCTCTTTGCTGGAGTAGAGGAACCCAACCGATTTTTGTATGCTGATCTTGTATCCTGCCACTGTGCTAAATCTCTAAATTAGTTCCAGTAGAGTTTTGTACTCAGTCTCTTGTGTTTTCTATGTATAGGATCATATCATCAGCAAATAGGGATAATGTGACTTCTTCCTTACCAATTGGGATGCCTTTGATTTCCTTTTCTTGCCTTACTGCCCTGGCTAGGACTTCCAATACAATGTTGAGTAGAAGTGGTGATGGAGGGCATCCTTCTCTGGTTTTTGTTCACAGGGGAATGGTTTCAGTCTCTTTCCATTGAAAATAACATTGGCTGTTTGTTTTGGATATATGCCCTTTAATTATGTTCAGTAATTTCCCTTCTATTACTCTTTTTCTGAGAGTTTTAATAGAAATGTGTGTTGGCCTTTTCTGCATCAATTGTTATGATCATGTGCTTCTTTTTCTTTATTTTACTTATGTGATGGATGATGTTGATTGTTTTTCTAATGTTGAACCATCCTTGCATACTTAGCATGAACCCCACTTGATCATAATGTATTATTGTTTTTATGTGTTGTTGGAGTCTATTGGCTAGTATTTTGTTGAAGATTTTTGCATCTATATTCATGAGGGATATTGGTCTGTAGTTTTCCTTTTTAGTGATGTCTTTGCCTGGTTTTGGTATTAAGGTTATGGTTGCTTCATAAAATGAATTTGGGAGGATTCCATCCTTTCCTGTGTTCTAGAATACTTTGAATAGGATTGGTGTCAGTTCTGTGAACGTTTGGTAGAATTCTCCATTGAACCCATCTGGGACAGGACTTTTTTTTTTTTTTTTGGTAATTTTTGTACGACCTGTTTGATACCTTCTTTGGTCATGGATCTGTTAAAATTTTCCACCTCAGTCTGTGTTACTTTAGGAAAATAGTATATTTCTAGAAATCTGTCCATTTCTTGTAGATTTTCAAATTTGTTGGAGTACAGTTCTTCATAGTATCCTGAAACTATCCTTTTTATTTCATTTGGTTTGGTTCTGTTGCAATGTCACCCAGTTCATTTCTTATTCATGTTATTTGTATTCTCTCCCTCTTTTCTGTTGTTAAGTTTGCCAGGAGTTTGTCAATTTTATTAATAGTTTCAAAAAAAACAACTTGTCTTGTTGATTTTTTTCTGTTATCTTTCTATTTTCTTTTTCATTTTTTCCTGCTCGCATCTTTATTATTTCTATTCTTCTGGTGACTGTCGGCTTTTTTTACTTCTCTTTTTCTAATTGTTGGAGATACTGGTTTAAGGTGTTGATTTTGGCTCTTTCTTCTGTTTGGATGTATGCATTTGTTGCTGTAAATTGCCCTCTACTCAATGCTTTTGCTGTGTCACAGAGTTTTTGGTATGTTGTATTTTTGTCCCCATTTGATTCAAGGAATTTTTTCATTTAATTTTTTATTTCTTCAATTACCCAGTCATTTTTAAGGAGAGTGTTACTCAGTTTCCATTGATATTCCTCTTGTTCTGTTGATATTCTTCTTGTTTTGTAACAAGCATTGTGATCTGAGAAGATGCTTGGCAGTATTTCAGTGTTTTTAAATTTGTTGAGGCTTGCTTTGTGACCTAAGATGTGGTATATCATGGAGATGTTCCATGTGCACTGGAAAAAAATGTATGTTGTGCCATTGTTGAGTGATCTGTAGATGTCTACGTCAAGTTTATGGATTGTATTGTTTGGTTCTTCTGAGTCTTTGTTGAGTTGTTTTCCAGTTGTTCTATCTTTCATTGAAAGTGGTGTATTAAAGTCTTTTTTGTACTATGACTGTGGAGTGATCTATTTGTCTTTTCAATTCTGTTAAAGTCTAGTTTATGTATTTTAGAGCTGTTTCATTGGGTGCATAGATATTTCTTATGGTTATGTCCTCTTGTTCAGTCAATCCTTTAATCATTATATAATGCCCTTCCTTGTCTCTTATGGTGGTTCTCATCTTAAAGTCAGTTTTATCAGAAGTTAATGTTGCCACTCTTGCTCTTTTTTTGCTTGCCATCATTTGTCTGATATATCTTTTTCCAACCTGTAGTTTTTAGTGTAATTATGTCTTTGTCTTTAAGGTGTGTCTCTTGTAGACAGCATATTGATAGGTTATGTTTTCTTATCCAGTCTGTTATACTGTTTACACTTAGTGTAATTATCAAAAAGTATGAATTTGTTGCTGTCATTTTGTTATGTTTTTTCATGGTGTTGTTAATTGCTTTTTTCCATATAATTTTCTGTGCTGAGCTCATTTTGTTTATGAATTGAGTTGTCATTTCCTTCATTGCTATTGTTTTAGTATTTGCTATGTATTTGTGCTTGTCCTCTTTTTCAGTATGTTTGCATAGGTTTGTTATTATTTATTTAGTTTTTTAGTTACTGTGTGATTTATAATTCTCTTTCCAAGTTTAGAACAGTCCATTCTGTCTTGCAGTTTTCTTGACTTCCCTACCATTTAGAAGTTCTGTAACTACAGTATTTTTCTGTCTTCTTGGTTTGTACTTCCCCTCATTTGCCAATTGACGTCTCTGGCTCCCTGTTTAAAGAATTGTAAACTTATTTTACTTTGGATATTTCCATGACAGGGTTGGTTTCTGGGTTATATCACCATTTGTGTTAATGGTCAGTTGTTGTTTGCAGTTGTTGGTTCTCTGTCCAAAGGACTCCTTTTAGCATCTCTTGCAAGGTTGGTCT